TCAACTGGGAGTCAGAAACTTTTAGAGGTTTCTTTGTAGCTGACTCTCCACAGCATTCTGGCTCACTATTTGAAGCATGGGGTTTTATCTTAATATTTACCAAACAAAAGTCTAGTTTAAAAATTGTATGCGACTATGGAGAGACTTGGGAGTTAATTTTAAATAATACAATGTGGCTGCTGCTTGTTTCAGCACAATGATAATTTGAACTGGTAGTTTACATACATTCATCTTGGGTAAAAGTTGTTCAGAAAAATGGACACTGGAGTTAAAAAATAGAGAGTAACTGCCATAGGCTAATGTCACAGAGACAGGTTTTACTTTACAAATGTTGCTTAATTTAAAACATTGAGATGAGTCATGTTGTTAGAATGGATAAAAGATAAAACAATGCCTTATAGAGATATTAAATGTAAAATAGTTGGTACATTTAAAAACACATTTTAATACATTTGAACTATATTTGGTAAGAGAGTTATAAGTATAAAAAGTATATAAAAGATTCCAGGCTTATTTTTAATTGTCAAGAATTTCAGGAAGATTTATCCATATTCATTTCAGCTACATCAGCATCTTTTTTTTATGCACAGTATAGAATTTGTCTTTAGCTGGAACAACCTCTATTTTTGGGGGGTTTTTCTTGTTTATAATGTTTTATTTTCTTAACCTACATCACTTTCTTGCCATCTGATCAATTCGCCTTAATTTCAGTTTGGTTTACTTCTGCATTCACTTCCTCAGAGTGGCCAAGTCTGTCATATTACTCATACATATATTTTAATTTTTAGTTTTATTAGAACTTTTATCTTGGCTTAGTGTCAGCTTCTGCTATTTGCTTTAAGAAGCTTTGATGCAGTGTCAGGAATCGCTGCAGAGAGGACCTGGAGCAGTCACCAGTGAAACAAGGTAACAATTTATTCCCTCTCCTGAGGTGCCACCACGTGGCATCACTAGGGAGAAGGGACACTTCCTGCTGAACAAGACATTGAAATTCACTTGTTAAAATGCAGAAGCCTGGCTCAAAGCTACATTCAGTAGGTCACCAGTCATTTCTGGGGCCGCCACTGTGCCAGCAGCAGCATGTCCCTTTTCGTCCTTTTCCATTACATCCCTGAGTCCACAAGGTCAGCAGGACCTAGTCCTGATTCCTGTTGTGGGCTGACGTTTCCCTTGTTTTTGTACAAYATGCCAGCAGGCTTGGCACTGAAGGTCAGTTTGTCTGCTGTGTCCTGCACAAGATGGACTCCTCACTCCAGCATTCATTTGTCTCTGCTCAGTAGCTCAGCACAGAGCMTTTAATCAGTCTGGATTTTACAGAGAGGTGCACAGTGCAAGATGCCATTCCCTGGGTACGATTATAATGGCCAAATTGCAGTTCTTTTGGGCAGGTGGCTCCTATCAGTGCACCCACTGTGCATGTCAGCTAGCACAAGTGCCTTCCCATTTCTATTTCCCTCATTTTCTTTCCTCAGGCTGTCAAAGCTTCTGTTCCCTTTTCACAAAYCCTTTAGTTCCACTGTATGTATCACTCTTGCAATGTAATGATTCTAAACCCTGCTATGCAGTTTGCTTGTTTGCAATATACCACATTTGTTTCTAGTGCAAACAGCTTCACACTCCTTTGAAGTTCATGTCATTTTTCTCTTACTTTGAAAATTCTTTCCTTCCTCCGCATGTTAATTGCAAATCTTTGCTGGCTAGTTTGAGCTACTGCTCTTCTTCTTTTAGTGCCCTTTTTTGTTTGTGAGCTCTCTTCTCACATTAAGCATTTGCCTGCCTTTTTCTCAGTCTATCTTCTTGTGCAAAACAATTTTGTGGGGTTTTGGGAGCAGGCTTTACACTAACTAAATCAAATCTTTTTCTGTCTCAGCACAGCGATATTTGACCTATTGGGCCATTTTTCATTCAGCTAGCTTTTACTTCCTGTGTTGTTCTTTCAGGTGTAGTCAATGAGTCTGTGCAGTAATTCTCATGGGGAAGGTTTTCACAAATATTTTTAAGTTTAGCAGTCTTACCCTTCCATCTTTTCTGGTGTTTTGGGAATCTGTCCTTTTAATGTTTTGACCATAAGCACTTTACAGCTTCCCACTGTAATTACTCACATAATATTATGCTGTAATAGCTCAAGTCTGATTGTTTAAGCATCTGAGTAGGAGATTTCATGAAAAGATTACTTCTACAAACGTATCTTTGTACTTGACATTTCAGTACTGGAGCCATTAAAAAAGAGATTAATTCTTCTCTTTTGGGCTCAGTGCATTTTTTTTTATCTGTGTGAGTGATCCTATTGATGCATAAGGACTTTTCATATGGGCCATGAKTGCAGGGCTGGACTCTTGTCTTCATATTTTGGAGACAATTTAAGGCCTGTTCAGCAGTAGCTGCTTGTGGCATGGAGTGGAATTCATGCTGTGCCAAGCTCTCAGTTTCACACAGCTTATTACTAATTCCACTCTGATGAAAACCAAAAGGCCATCGTGCTTTTCCTCCTCATTGCTCTTCCTACAAAACAACAAATGTCAGAACATCTTGTGAAATAGGAGTTAATGGGGCAATATTACATTCAATTTCTTCTCTTTTTTCTAAGAAAATGCAAAAAAGTTACTTTGCTACTGTTCCAGTCATTGGGTAGTTTTGTTAATTGCAATGAATGTTCTAAATTTTCACATCTAAATAACAAGGGGGTTCTTTGTTCAGTATTTATCACTGGAAAAATCTATAGAGTCAAGTATAATTTGTAAGTATTTGCCAATTATTTTGCAATTTTAAGTCTCTGATTCTTTTCATCTTCCATCTGATTTACCTGCGGCAATTGCCTTTTTTATAGGCCATTCACTGTGTCGAGGGAAATGCTCAGGAAATATATTGTATCTATGAGATTCAGAGAAATCCTGCATTTTCCCAGTGAATTCTGGGACTACATTTCTTCTGCTAGTAGCAATTTAGTTATAAGTATTCTCCATGTAAGTCCATCTTTATAAAAAGGACATTGCATTTTGATATTTTAGAACCATATGTCACAAAGGACATGTTGTAATTACATTTACTTTGGTAGGAATTGAAAATGTATTGTAGTAGTTGAATCCCCAGGGGAAGGTTTCTAATAAAATCTCCATTGAATTTATTCATATGTGGAAATACAGTCAATATTTGGGATATGAAATATCAATAAAAATAAAAAAGTATTAGCATTCGGTGTATGTTACAGTGCATAGCCTTGCCAGTTTGAATATTTTTTTCACAAAGCTTTCTTTCTCAAAGCTTCTATGAGCTTTTAAAAATATTATCTCTAAGGGAAAATGAAATTAGTTTGTAAGAGTCATGAAAATTGGTAGTTTAATTTTGTTTTTTTTAATTACCTTATAGAAGTGAAAGGAAAAATAGGAAAATTCACTTATAGAAGTGAAAGGAAAAATATCCATAATGTTTCTCATTACCATGAATGCAAATCAGGGCTTCATTTTCTAACATTCATGCATGGGGATTCACTGGCTTTGTGATGGTGGCAGAGACCACTCAGCTGTTTGCTTGCTGTTTTATTTTCTATGCTGCCTTGGATAAAAGACAGCAGTATAAAAAAGTGCTAAGGCAGAGAAAATATGGCAGAATGTTCCATTAACATGATGTCTTCTTTAATAAACTTCTAACTTATGCATGGATTCCTGAAATATTTACCAGTCCCAGTTCAATGCCAAATCCTAAATCAGCGACAAAGGAGGAAGGTTTTATTTTCCAGTCAGGACTTCAGGGATGATACATCTGCTTCCATAGCCCTAGACAAACCACCAGTAGTAATTCAAAACAAAARTGCCTCAAGATGGAATAATTTTCCATTGGGGCTTCAGCGTTACAAGGCACAGGGCATAGGATCCAGTTTCATGTCCGCTCTCTGGTACAGAAGCATTGCCTGGAAGCCATCCAGGTCTCCCATGCACATTGTCTTTTCTCTCTCCCTGGCCAGCCATCAGCATGAACACACTCCTTGTGGTCTCTTGCTCTACAACTCATAAGTCAGCATTGATCTGCTTTGATGGAAGTTCGTAGCTGGGTCGGGTTTTCTGAAGCCTGTTATGTCCCTCCTGTTCAGCAGAGATGCCTCTGTGTTCCCCTTCCACCACCATTTCAAGGAATTAGTGAGCAACATTTGAATCCTGAGAACTGTCAATGTATTTATTGCATTAGCAATGTGGTCTTCTTGGCACTGAAAGAAAAAAAAAAGAGAAAATGCTTATATTCCATTACAAAATTCCTGCTTATAAATTTACAATGTATTTTGTTGATATACTCTAACACTAACTTTAAATATCTCATTTGTTTTCTATATTATCTGTGAAAAAGACTGAGTTAATTGAAGTAAATTCCACATATTTAAGCATGGAATAAATAGAAACATGGGAAGATTAGCAAAATATTTGCCCATAAGTCAAATTACCACTGTGAGACACATTTGAGCTATTTTAAATGCTTAGAAAAGCAGATGTTTAACTCCCAACAGCTTGTCTTCAGCCATCCTCTGTCACCTTTATGCCTTTCTCTAGCCAGCCCCTATGAGACCGAAATGAATTGAAATTTTTGCTATTTTTCAAACAAGTTACTTCACCATGGAGTACTGAGAACATTTGAGGTCTCAGCATTCAAATGTTGCTAAGTACTACACCACTAAGTACTGTGGCAGGTTTCCAGAGTCCCTTTCTTTCTCTGCTACTTAGAAACAAACAGTACTTTGCAGGGGTGGTTTTGCAGTTTGGTTTTGTTGGGATTTTTTTTAAAAAAGGAGTTTGTGHATGACTGTCTACCATTCTCTATATCTACCACATTAGCTGCTTCTCATCTAGACTCCCTTTTTGGGTGAATAAAGGTAAATGTTGTTTGGTTACACTACTGTTTGTCTACACCTTCCATAGTTTTGCAATTGAAACAACACAAGCACACCCAGAGGCACATGTACACGTGGTCCAAACGTCTTCATTATTGTTTGTGTTGCTTTATTCATCCTGCAGGTCTCCTGTAATGGCTGGAGGTCTATTTGCCGTTAACCGGAAATGGTTTTGGGAGCTGGGAGGCTATGATCCAGGATTGGAGATATGGGGAGGAGAGCAGTATGAAATCTCCTTTAAGGTAGGTCATCAAGTCACCTTATCAAATGCTTCCTTGCTGCTGTTATCATGATGCTTTCATTCCTATGAGCTTCTGTCTTTTAACTAAAATTATTTTAATAAAATACTTTCCTCATTAGTAATGCCCACTGTGCCACAAATATGCTCCAAAAGCCATACARAAATCACACTGAGTGCAGTTCCCTCTGAAAATGTGGTAGCTTACCACTGTCAAAGATTGAAGTTTCACCCTTTTTCTTTCATCAAGTCTTCTCCACTTATCTTCACTCATACACTGTATTTAGGCTCAAGTAATGAGCTCAGTTCAACAAGCTAACAGAGAACTAACTAATCCAGAAAAAAACAAAATGGCAACATTTTCTGCCCAGAGTTTAATCATCTCTGGGAATGGGGTCCCCTGGAGTCAGCTCAGGAAAATGGAAATAGAAAGTCTTAGGAAGAAAGATGCCTTTTAGTAGCAGTGGAGCACCAGAGCAGCTCAGCTGCCATAAGCTGTTCTATTCAAAAGTAGATTTTTTTTTTAATTGCATTTAAATTATTGTAATGACACATGGGGAGTTTTCAAGTGCTCATGTTATGTACAACCAGCCATGTTACAGTATTCCCTAATATCCTGTATGTGGACATGTATATTGAAATCAGTTACTTGGCATTTATATGTCAAGCTGAAAGTCTTGTTACTCTCTACATGTAATACAGGCATTTGAATTAGTTTGCTGAGGACTAACATGTCTAATTTTGAAAACTGAATTTCTTTTCCCATATACCCAAGGACATAAGCATTTTACCTCATGGTCTCTCCATGCAAAGTTTTTCAAGGACTTGATAGAATTTCGTGACATAGTTAATTTGAGTCAAAAGTAWTTATTTGCATAAAGCTTGGAACTGAAACTACAATTCAAATGTAGCTCCAGTATCTTTTCAGCCTACTTCCACATTGTGTCAGTTTAAAGCTCTTTAAACAAATTTAGCATGTCAGCCATGACTAATATCAGATACCTTGCTGACTCTGAGTTTCAGCTGCAATTCAAACAGTGCTGAGGCCGTTCTGTTGAATAAAATGTACAGTGTGACCCAACACTGGGTTTCCAGGCTTTCTTTACAGAGTTACCAAGAACAGCAAAATGTTTTGAATTAACTGGCCTACTCTCATGTTTCTTCAAATCATTTTTATACCTCAGCAAAATAAAACAGGAAGGCAGGGGAAATCCAATAGCTAGACCATATGTTTAGTATATATATCGATTTACCTTCTGTCCATTTAGATTGTTTCAGTATAAATATAAGTAGTTACTTGTAGCTGTCACAATGGTCTCTGACAGGTCACCCATGATTTTATTATCCTATTTCAAATATTTCTGTTATTCATCATCACAAAGAATATACTTGTTGTGTTCTCCAGACTCTGTATAGAAACCATGGTAACACAACTGGAAATTGAGATACCAGATTGTCCCTGTGTGTTTTGTTTAAGTGAGAGATTTTTATTTTTTTTTAAGGCAGCTGTGTCACACTGGATCTCATTTTAGTCCTGTCTCTGGATCTATCTCATTAGTATATAATGACCTTATGGTCCCTGTCCTTTCTGGCTAGTGTTAAAAGAAGAAAAAAAATCTTTAGAAATGAGAGCCAAATAGAAGTAAATTCCTGTTGGAAGAATTTAAGACATGTAAATTATAAAAAAAAGATTGCTTTTTTGTTTGGAATAACAAAAAAAAAAAATGAGAAAAATCACAGATATGAAGAGAAAAGCAGAAAGGGCTGGGGTTTATTATGTCAGAATCATCACTATCAGCTTGGGAAAGATTTCTGCTTCAGCAGTTTCTAYTGCAGCTACAGATACAGTCATCTATCATTAAACTTATTAAAATGAGGACGAGTTAGCCAGACAGTTCAATTTATCAGATTTGTTCACAAAACTTGGTAAGATGGTGGACTTTCTAACTGTTACAAAGTCAGTGAAAGTCAATGACAAAGCCAGACAACCAGTCTGGTTCAGTCTCCTTGGCTTCACTTGAGTGAATATGAAATGACAACCTAAACTCAGAGCGTCCACATCTGTGGCCTGTGGAGGTGTTGTTGGATGGGTGGCCTGTGTTGATGTCATGTCTTATATTACTTTGTTTGGCAAATAACTATTTGGAGTATTCTGGATGGTGACAGAGCCACACGGTGTGTCTCAAAATGTGACCTCTTCATTAAATAGTTTCTTGAATTGGTTTTTATGTAAGAAAGTGTTCAGGATTTTATTTTTTGGCAGCATCAAGATCATTTTTTTTAATTAAAAAGATGTATGACATCTTGCTGACAATACTCTTTAGTGTGTGCTAGACTTGTGAAAGCTGGCAAAGCACTGGAACTCACCTGATTAATAGCATCTCTTCAAAATAACAAGCAAAGCTACTGTTTGGGAAATCCTAAATTTAAATGTGTTAGGCACCATTTTTGTAGTAACCACCACAACACAGAGTAGCAAAAGATGCCAATTTCCTGTGTTTCCTGACGATCTTTGTGTTTGACCTTGGCTGTATGCCAGGTACCCAGCAGAGCTATTCTATCACCTCCCTCCTCACYTGAATAAAGGAAAGAAAATATAACTAAAGGCTCATGGATGAAYATAAGGAGAGGGAGACATCACTCACCAGTTACCATCATGGGTAAAGCTGACCTGACCTGGGGAAAAAAAATTATATTACTGATCAAATCAGAGTAGGTCAATGACAAATAAACCCAAGTCTTAAAATACCTTCACCCCACCCATCCCTTCTTCTCAAGCTCAGCTTCACTCCCTGTTTTCTCTACCTTCTCAGTCTTGGGGGAATGGGAAATGAGCTAYGATCAGTTCATTACACGTTGTTTCTCCTGCTCCTTCCTCCTCAGGGGGGCTCCTCACACTCTGCACCTGCTCCAGCATGAGGGTCTTGAGGGGCTGCAGGTGGATCTCTGTGATCTCTGCTCCACCATGAACCGTTCAGGGGCTGCAGAGACACAGCCGGCTGTGGTTTTCACCACGGGCTGCAAGGCAATCTCTGCTCCAGCACCTGGAGCACCTCCTTCCCCTCCTTCTTCCCTGACCTTGATGTCTGCAGAGTTGGTGCTCTCACATATCCTCACTCCTCTCTCTGGCTAAAATTACACAGTAACTTTTCCCGTTTCTTAAATCTGTTGTCCCAGAGGTGCTACTGCCATTGCTGATGGCCTTGGACCATGGCAGGTCTGTCCTAGAGCCAGCTGCCATTGGCCCTGTTGAACCTGGGGGAAGCTTCTGGCAGCTTCTCACACAAGCCACCCCTGTAGCCCCCTGCTACCAAAACCTGGCCATGCAAATCCAATACAATCCTTTGCACTGGACATTCCATAGGCACTGTAAATCATCCTTAACAAAAATGCTAATGGTGATCCCCTAGCATCTTGAAGGTAGTCATATGTATCTACAGTCGCTTTATCCTTATCCATGCCTATACATCTTCCAAATTCTCTTCATCCCTGTTTTACAAAACACACCTACAAGTTCATTAATCCATTTCTTTATCACCATTGTTATCATAATCATTATTAATTCCCTCCACAGCTGTCAATCTTGGCAGGAGATAGGGAGTGGAGGAGCATTACCACTTGTCAGTGCAGTTGTAATCGGTATGAATGACTGAGAAATGTGGCATATTGACAGTTTTCTCAGAATTGTAGAGGTGCTGGTGAGAATTGTTGAAATACCCACAGTCATTAGTTCCCAGTTTACATGGTATGGTTTTAATATTTCCTGGCAGGAAATCCCACTGCACCTCCAGYAAATGGTTTTGCAATTTGTGAACCCATTGACTGTAGATTTGCYGTCAGTGACCCTAGTTTTCTTTTTTTTGTTCATTTAGCTGAACATTCTCACCACATGTAAAAGTTCACATGAAAATATTGTTCTTTCTCTTTTTCTACAACTGCCAAATCTGTTCTTTTGACTTACATTTTAAGATGAGTGACTGAAAAATCCCATAAAATTTTTATATTCTTATTTTCTACAACTTTTTCAGCCCCACTGTTGTAATGCATTTCTCCTGTTTGTAGTCTATCCTTGTGCCACATGAAGAGCACCAAGCTGTCACCTTTGCATGAAATGCTTTATATTCCTCTTCCACCAGTTTACTGTTTGTATTTCCCATTCATTTCAATGTCTCCCACTGTTGTTATTGTCTGTCTTGTTATTCTCAGCAGCGGTATATTTCTCAATTAGTTTTGAAGCCTGATCCAAAGTCCATTCAGTACCCTCTAAATTGTTTGCATTAATTTGCTGTGTGTTTATGTTCCTTTTCCCCTGCGAAACATCCTCTACTGCTCAAAAATCATGAGTCTCTTACCACAGTTATTATGATTACAGTCTAGCATATGGATTGGAATCTCAGTCTTGCATGCACAATATTTACATTTTCCAGATTGTCTCCAGGCTGGATCACTCAAAAACCAGAGAGCTAAGGTGGGAGAACCAAAAGAGAAGGCAGAATTCAATTTAAAAAACAAAGAAGAGATTTGAAAAGAGAGTGATTCACCCAAAATCCCATATGAGCTGTAGAACAGAGCCAAAAAATGCATCTGTGACATCTAAACTCCAGTCAGGAACAAAGCCACCAAACCACAGCTTAATTTCTTTTAAAGCTTGTGTTAATGCCTGTCTTTTGCTTTCAGCCATCCCTRTAAAGTGTTTTGCAACATTCTCTTGGAAGGAGCCATATAAAGATAAATTGTGATATAGTCTCTAGTTGACACATAAACTACTCTTTTGGTCTTTCCAAGCTGGAATTKCATTATTTTGGTTTCATCTTTGTTTTTTATACCTCGGCTGCAGACCAGATTCATTGCTTTTGTAAGAAGGAGACATTAACAATGCTGAGAGTTTCATTGCTTCTGATATAATTTTGCCAAATGTCCCACACCACCTGAATTCCTTTCATGGTACACTAGAGATCTGTAATACTTAACACAGAAGTCATTCTCCAGTTTCTTGCATTTAATGCATGTGACATAAAAAAGCACATTTTAAAGACAAAGTTGYCAGAATTTATCTTCTCAGGAAAATATAAAAAATGCTTTTAATACCACTCTGAAGCTGGAAGATAAATAGGAACAGCTGCTAAATGTCCTTCAAGGCAGCCCAAGATTCATTTCAATTACCCTGCAGAGCATACCTCAGGTGCAGCACAGCATTTTCAGGTTTTATATCTATCAAATATAAGCCTAACACAGTGTTATTTCCTCCCACTTGTTTTTGTCTCAGCATATCTGACTGGGGTTTCTTTCTAATTTCTTTTCTCCGTTTTTCTTTTTAGCTGATACCCTACAGCCTTAGAGGAAATGTARTATGTGTCTATTGCAGCTCTCATTGCCTCAGTTAAAGTAATACTAGGCTATATATATATAAAATTCCTGCTTTCTTGCCTTTTAGATTTGTTCTGGAGCTGACCTTTGAGTCAAACTGCTATGCTATCTATTCTTCAAAGCCTTGACTAATCACTGTAATAATTTGTCTCGCCTTTGAAATGACACCTTCATTTAAAAAAAAACAAGAACAAATAGTAAACATAGGTCTGCGCCTTTATTGATGCACTGGGTTGAAGACAACCACAGGGAGGAAATTCCCTCTAAAAGAGTACAAATGGTGTAACATACAAAGGAAATACTGTTAGAAAAGTGAATACATTATTTTAACACTTTCATTTTTATGATATTGTACTATGTTTATGAGCATGTTTTCCAGTGAATTAGCTGACATGAGATGAAACAGATGAGGATTTAAAGGTTTATTTAAGAGGCAAATTTTACAAAATGGTTTTTTAAAGGAAAATGATCCTCATGTGCCCATGGTATGACTACATGCAATATTGCTCTGAGCAGGAATGTGCTATTTTGGCATGGAGACAGAGCATTCATTAGGGTCTCCATTCCCAATCCACTAGTAAATTTCCTTCCTGATGAGAAACTGTGCTCACTAGGAGAGCAGGTGACCTGTTGAGCAGCACCTGTGCACAGCTCCAATATCTTAGTCCATTCCRTGATGAAAGGCAGTAAGCAGTAGCTTCTGGAGCAGCTCTCAACTCTGTCTGACTGCCCATGGGTGTCCATGGAATTTAAGGACAAAGCCCCACATTGACTGGTTTCAGGCCTTCCTTAGACATTTTCATTGGTGTATTTAGGTTTGTCCTGTGATGAGGTTAGATCCTCAAGTATTTCATTATCAGGGCTCAGCTGGATGCCATGGCTAAGTGCTAAGAGTTAGCAAACAGGAAAGCACAATGAAAGTGGCCRAACTTAAAGTCCCTTCCAACCCAAACCATTTTAGTCTGCTCTAGTCTATATATTTTATAATTTTATTTTGAATATACTCTGCTTTTGCATAGTGAGATTCTGGATGGGAGAATCTGCCATGTTACCACATCCCAGTTACCAAGCAGGTCACCATGACTGCTGGAGGGGTCAGCACAGAATGATGTGTTATTTTCACATACACATTAGTTTAAATSCTTTTTTTTGGCCTCATTTGTTTCCCGGAATCATTCTTTCCCCTGCTTTCCGTCTGCTTTGCAGGTGTGGATGTGTGGAGGTGGCATGTATGATGTTCCGTGCTCCCGAGTGGGACATATTTACAGGAAGTATGTCCCGTATAAAGTCCCTTCTGGAACCAGCCTAGCACGGGTGAGTAATTGGGTCTTGCTGTTTTTCATTTTCATTCATTATCAGTCTCTTCATTCCTTGTGAACCAGTTTCCAGTAAACTATTAAAATGGAAAATGAATGTTTCTTTATTTTTTGAAATGAGATGTGCAATTACTGCAGTTACTCTGCCTTTCAGAGATAAGATTGCTGAGAATAAAATGGAAGTTTAAAATTGCAGGGTTGGACGTCTCGGCACAGAAGCACATTTCATGCTGATTCAAAAGAACCTAGGAATAACCTAAGGCTTGTGGTTCTCAAATTGCACAGTGTTGTCAGTCATAGTTTTTATAAGCAGGACCAATTTGAATGCATATTTTCTTATCAGTCAGCAAAACAGGCAGAATCTCATGGAACGGATGTTTTCTGAGGCAAAAGGACTGAGTAACAATTACTCAAGCAAATATCTGAATATTGTGTAAAATCTGGTGGTGGAATACAGCCAGCTTGGAGCTGTGAGATTGAGAAATTACAGGACCTCTAGACATTTCTCAAAGACTACTGAACGCATCCATATCCATGAGGAGCTTTTTGCTCAAGAGAAAATGTTCTGTAACTTTGTGGAGATGTTCACAGGATGTCAAAAGATGGGAGATGAAGGGCACAGATGTAGCTTCCAGGAAGATACTAGTATTTTTTCATGCTTCAGWTTAATCTTTTCTGGTTTAGAAGATTTTTTTTTTAAATAAAATGGCATTAATATTAAAAAAAGTCTTCATATTGTCATAGGGTAATATTTTTATGAATCATAGTTTTTTCTTAATAATGAAAATGTGGTATGAATAAAAGAATTAATTTCTTGCTCTAAGGGGGAGATATCCTTGGTTTCAGCACCACAGGCTGCTGTACTATCTACAGCAGAAAGAAGAGGCTGCCTGTGCTGCCTGCCTGACAGCTGGCTAGACAGAAAGAAGGATTTGCCTTAACAGACCATCAGTGCAGATTGTGTGGCACACAATTAAGTAATGGGATTAGTGGTGGGGACAAAAACTGTACTGACTAAATTGTCAGATTAATATCTTCCCCCAGTATAGCTCAGTGTCCTGTCAGAGTTGCCCCATCAAGGTTTTTGGACTGCCCGAATTAAACCTCTTTGTTTATGATATTCCCTACAAAAATCATACAACTTGAAATCAAAAATTCAAACCTCAGTCTCTGTTTTCTTCAGTTACAGAATATATCTCATTAGAGAATATGCTGTCTCATGCAATACGTGTAGGAGCAAAATACAATAATTTCTCTTTCTACTATTGGCATATTGCCCAGTTCATCACTTAACTGGCTTTCATGGTGAAACAGTGCTTAACTTACACTGCGAGTGCTTAGAAYGTCAGGCAGCCACAGCCTACAACCTTCCCTGTACTGTTTATTTTAGCTTGATTTCAATAGTTCACTCGTGAAATATTACTGTAAAACATTTCCATTTATAAAAACGATATCTCTGCCCAAGCACAGACCGATCACCCTATAACTTGTGGGAAAAGATCTAGTGGTGGCTCTTATCCTTCCATTCCAATAATGGATAGCTTTTTCTGTGTTGTGTCTGTCCAAAACATGCTTAGGTAAATTTGTGACATTAAAAGAAACTTTAAATTCTCAGATTCACAGCTTCTTTTCAGTACAGTATTCATTACATTGCATCAAGGCTACCAAGAGCACAAGAGTATCTCTGTGTTCTAGTGTTTGGGGCTATTTCAGTAACTAGCCAAAGAAGAGAGTTTTGTCCTTGACCCATCATATTGTGTGTAATTTTTAAAGCCTAAAAATATTCTCTTTCTCTCATCCTAGCCACAAAAAGAAAATCAAGGACAGATTAATCTTCAATGTGTCAATCCCTTTGATAAAAGCCTCTTGTATTCGAAATAAAACACCCCAAATGGAGCTGTTAGCCAAAAAAATATTAGGCAAGTATGGACAGGAGTGTCTTGGATATTTCAACTGTCTTTGCATTATCCTTTAAATGTTTTATCATCCAAAGATTATAGTCTACACCTTACAAGCTTTTTAGCTAAAATTTACATAGAACTTATTATTATAGAACTTATATAATGAATAACACACTCAAGAATATCTGGAAATACTCTCCTCACTGCCAAAAACAGTACTTTCCACTGCTAAGTAGTYTCCACAAAGTTTTTTACGAATTCCTAATTCCTTCTGCTGTTTAACAGAGCATGCCAGAGATGCAGTTCACAAAGGAATGCATCCTACAAAGTCCAGCTGTGATTGTATAAATGATTGCAAGAGCCTTTCATTAATCAAGGGGGAATTTCCCCTTGTACAGACCCTGCATAAAAGATTTTCCCATCCTATTCCACAGCACCAGCACAAGGGAAATGAGTATTGAAATTAGGAAGAGAGCAGAGCTTCAAGACAAAGACAGGCATAGCCCAGATCATGCCATGGGTGTCCTTTCAAGCTATGTTTGCCCTTAACAAGTAATCCTTAAAGTGAACATTTTACCTTCCCTGGGATTTCACCCCTTTTTATTTTTTAGCAGTGAGTTTCCATGCAGTTACAGCCAGTTATATAATGCTAGACCAATCTGAGTCTCTGTTAAGAGAGCTCTGGCCCRGTGTGAGGATCACATCTGCTTTATGAAATGAGAAATCTGTCAAAACTTCTGTTCACCTCCCCATCACTAAATAACGATAGTGTACCRCATACAATAGTATGGAACATGCCATCAGTTTTCTGTGTCCTTCCTATCTGTCATTCAAGATCTGCAAAATTTCTCCATATTTGTTACTGCCACATCTCACATAAATTGAAAAGCATACACATAAACACTGTTAGTAAAATCATTTGATGGTGCAGAGAAAAATGAAAGCAAACTGTAAACATGCATAGGAGATGCGTAAACAGATTCTGACAATCAAATGTATTTAAAAGGCTGAATATTTTTGTCTGAAAGTGTCTTAAAATGTTTACGCTTGCCAAAAGCAGTCAGTGTTCAATTTWCAGGCATTTGCACATAAAGTATTAATAGGCATGCAGATGTCAACACTGATTCCGTTTTATAACATGGAAGCACCACATAATTATTCAATCATTCCAAACCTGTTGATCTCTGCACAAAACTGCAGGGACTAGGAACTAATTTTGCCTGTTTCTTTTCAGTAAGGCACGTTCAGAAAGCAAAACTCCAAGTCCTAAAAAAAATCTGAATTGTTTTACTGGATTATTTKAGTTGGGTTTTTTTTGTATTTCTGACTGTTTCTTCCTTTTCAACAATTCCAGCTAAGCCATTTACTTTAGCCAGTTACCTATGAAATGAGACTTCAGGATATTAGCACTTTCTTCTAGGTGTTTCTCAATTTATTATTTATTTTCTTGAGCTTCCTATTTGCTTTTTGGGTGGGCTTTTTTCCTATTTGTGGTTTTATAAAATCCATAAGAAATATATCAATAAAATCTCATTTTTCTATAGGATATGCAGAGATGAACAYAGTTTCAGAGTATATCTACAGAATTTCCTTTTCTCACAGGTATTTTACACAGCATTTTAGCACCAACTACAGAACACTAGTGCATTAGGCCTTTTTGAATGGAAGGGCAATCCCACTGAAGTTCAAATTGGATGCTAACCCAGCAGTGTAGTGAATCCTAACCTTAAACTGAGTTCCTCCCTGCCTGCCAGAACATGGGATGCCAGAGCATGGTGATCCTCTGACCCATCAGGAGCAAGCAGAATGATATTTCTCTCATTGTACGGTGTCAATAAATTGGAAYAGTGTCAGGAATTCAACTGGTAAATGTGGGCTCAGATTCCCACCTGAGCCATTGGCTCAGCCTTTTTTGTGTGACTTCAAAAGGGATCTTCAAAGAAAATTATTGTAACTGCACCATCTGGTGCTCTGACCACTTTTGCATTTTTGTCAGAGCATCCTTTAATGTAATGACTGTTTTGGTCTATTRTTTACCATCAGCAAACAATATATGGGAGTTTCTTGAAGCAGCCCATGAACATTTTCTATTCTGTTTCCAGGCATATTAAAGAACCAGGAGAATCAGTTAGGTAATGGCTAAATTTTCTCATGACCAGAGTACAAATGGGTAGATGTGGCATTACTGGTACTTTTGCAGTCACCTCTGTAGCACAAAAGACTGTAGCAAAAAGTCAGTTATGATTCAGCAATCACAGTAAACAGCGACAGTGTCAGCTTAGAACAGGCAAATGATTTAGGAATCAAGCAAGAATCACCTTATGGGAACAGCACAGCTATTATATATGATAACTAGGATTATTGCACAATATAGCTGTTATGTTTCCATTGTAATATTTTTCAGTAAGAGATAAATTCATTATTAATTAAACTAAGGTCTCAAACAGAGCATTTACCAAGAAAATACTTAAATTATTATCCTTGAATTTGTCAAGGCTTTTGGCATTGTCTTTCACAGTATCCTCATTGGCAAACTCAAAGAGTGTTGGTCAGATGAGTGGACAGTGAGGTGGCTAGAGGGCTGGCTCCATGAGGAGGWATGGCAGATCCTACAGCGTTGTAATCAGTGGCACAGGGTCTAGTTGGAGGCCTGTCACTGTCACTGGGCCCAGAATTGTTTAACTTATTCATTCWTTCAGAATTAATGAGTGAAGGGGCAGATGACTTCTCAGCAAATTCACTGACAGCACAAAGCTGGGAGGAGTGGCCAGAGTGCTACCCTTCAGAGGGACCTCAACAGATTGGAGAGATAGGCAGAGAGGAACCCACTGAAATACAGCAAAGGCAAATGCAGGGTCCTGCACGTGGGGAGGGAATAACCCCATGCTCCAKCACAGGCTGGGGGCTGAGCTGCTGGGAAGCAGTTTGTAAAGAAGGACCCAGGCTGTCTATGAGCCAGCAGTGAGACCTCGTGGCCAAGAAGGCAAATGATGTCCTGGGGTGCATTAGGAAGAGCATTCCAGCAGGTTGAGGGAGATGATCCTGGCCCTCTACCCAGCCCTGGTGAGGCACATCTGGAGGGCTGTGTCCAGTTCTG